CCCCTATACCTAATTCACAAAAGTTAACTCTCCTAGGTCTCAAACAACAGAACTGATGTTTATGGTTGCTATAGACTGTAGCTAAGTATCTTCTTTATTTATCTTGTTATTTTTCTAGTCACCCACATCAGAGTGTGTGCCATTTTAGGAGTCATTAGATATAAAAAATTCCTCCTGCTCATAATGGCACTTAAATGAAAAGGCGATCTCGATTCCAGTACATGCAGTATAAATTTAGAACTACTGCGTGTTTGTCTACATCAGCAAGCACAAAGAACATTAATCCCAGCTCATGAGCACACTGAAATCAACAACAAAGATTTCTAGCTTTTTGTTGCATAACTCATCTGTCAAATGGCTACAAAAAATCCTCCTCCCTCTACCCCCAAAAGCCTTTTTAAAACTAACCCCTTAGAATAATTATCTTCCCATTGTAGTATTTACCATAGAATACAATACTGATGTGTGAGAAGGAAATGAAAATGCTATATTTCTTCCACAGAAAATTAAAAGGGAACATTTTATCTTTGCCACTCAAAATCCTTGGACATAAATGCTACACCCATTACTCTGTTCTTTGTTAGTCATAGGGAAATTCTGCTTAGATTTTTTATCATGCTCTTCAGTGCATTAATTGACCTGATTAGCATCTGCTCTCTTGTCAGAGAAGGCAATGTACACAAGTGTTTCATTTAATACCATTCTTAAAGTCCTTTTAATGTATAAATATAAGCATATTGCCATCTATTTATTTTTGGTAGGAAAGGACACAGACATATATGGTCCACTTAGAGAAAATATGAATTAATCAACACAGTATGCACTTTGTAACTTTTGACAACAGAGAGCCAGCGCAGCTGCACAGTTCTATCATGGCTGTCCAGCTGCATCCCAGCTCAGAGGAGATGGATCATTTTGCAGTCTATACAGGAAAATCATCCCATAGTTACAAGCTTAAGTTTCTGAACACATAAACCTTATAATATCATGGAGAGTTTTATTGTGTCAGAACATGTTTATCCTGGAGCTTCAGGTGAGTGAAGTGAGCTATGGTTAAACTCCAGCATCCAGCAGCTCTTCCTAGCTCCTGGCACACATTCTGGTCACATCCAGGCACACAAGAGCCCCTGCTGCTTACTCCCTGTTTCACAATTTGGACAATCAGGAGAACAGAGCTACAGCAGACTTGGGAATATGTTTGTCTATGTGCAAGCCTAAAGTACCTTTCTGTCAATGGTTAATGGGAAGTCTAGACAGAGAGAAGAAAGCAGAGTTGTTTACGAAAATATGCAGATATAAAGAACCCTGTAGCTCACAGGCTTTCCAAAGCTTTCTGTTCAAGTTGTCATAGTCCACGTGAGACCCAACAAAGGTGTGGTAATTGAGCAAAGAACATCTGTCAAGGTGAGACAGAGCCTCCTAGTTAAGCAAAGACAGTACAGAGCAAAAATGATTGTATGAGTGGCCTCAGTACTCTTAAGTCGAATTTCTCTATATTGCTATGGAAATTAACTTTTCACAACTTATGCAGTATCCTGTACTCCCCTTGCCTAGAAGAAATAGTCAAATACCTGCAGATGTAGCATGTTTTGAAACACAGATACTCAGAGTTCTGTTGAAACAGTATCATTAGGTCTGATTAAAGACTCTGCCTAAATAAAGCCAGTTATATAGCTACATAATATATTACAGAGAGCTAAAAAATAAATCAAGTGAAGGTAAAGCTGTTTCCCCTCAACCAGCAAAGTTCCGGTGTTCCTGTGCAAACATGTTCACTGTTGAACAATGTCAGCATATTTGGTTGTGCAGGTTTTTTTGGCTTTGGCTTCTAGTTATCTCATTAGTGAACTGCTCTTTTAATCAATAGGTTACTAACTGGGAAGCTAAGTTTCTTATTCACAGCTTTGCAGGTTCCAATGTTCTCAGAAACACTGATGAAATTGCATCCTGTTTTCCTTAAAACAGCATCTCTTCTTTTTCATTCATTTTACCCTGTGTACCAGAGAAATTGGAATATTCTTGATGTCATGAATAGTATTACTGAACCCAGAGTATTTTCTCTATATGCTGAAAAAGCTAAAATAGGTTTACTATGTTCTGCATTTGTTTTTCAAGAGATATTGTCTATCCCCAAAGCCCCCAAATTAAATCTATGAACATGCAAAAACATTATTGGAAAAAATTCAGGGGAATTATCTGTGATACATATCTGAATACACAGCTTCTGAATTTGTGACAAGTCTTGATAAAACAAAGTATGCCTCTGTGTTTACTGTGGGGCAGATAAATGAACACAGTGCACAAGTTTTAATGCATTCTAAGTTCCCACACCAGCTTACTCGGCATTATTTTTTCCCAAGATGTTTCGTGTGAGATTTTAAAAGGTTATGTATGGAAATACAAAAAAACATTTGTGTTGTATTTCTTAAGAAACAACTTTACAGCTTTCCACACAGATCAAACATGCTTTTCAGCAGCCAAGAGTTTTTCATTCACAGTATTGCATGCTATAGCATTAAATGGCCTTTAAAATGTCTCATATACATTTATCCCACTTCTTTGACAGGGAAATTGTTTATAATGAATACCAGGGTCTGACTCTACATATTTTTGCATATACTTGTCAAGGTACTTTAAAACTAACAATGAAAATAGGGAGCAAAGCAAAAATTCACTTTACTTTTTACTGAAATGGATGCTCAGTAAAAATTGGTTCTGCCTAAAACATTTTTTATAGTCAGTTAAAATGTGTTGAGTAACACTTTAAGCCCTGTAACTACCATCTCTCTCTAAGAAACCCAACTCACAGCCCCATACAGGAGTCAATTGTGCATTGGCTAAAATTCCTGAACATCAGGAATGCCTGTTTGAAGCAATCTTGCTCTCTAATGATGCAAGCTTAACACTCTATGCTTCTCAGCATCTTGCTTCATAAGTACTCTGCTTTACCAGAGCTAGATGCAACATATTTACTAATACAGAAACATTTGAATCAAAATATTAGATCACACCAAGGTTCATCAAATGTTAATGATCTCTTAGAGCATCCAATGCAATTGTTTCACAGGAAAGTGTAAAATCATTCCAGACTGAAAATTGTCTACACCAATCTACACAAAGTTTCATCTTCGTCTCATATCATTAGACCTAAGTTTAAGCTCTGAAATGAGACATAGTATGGTTTACTAAGTTCTTATAATTAATTGTAATGACCTTACATAGCATGATTAAAATTATAAACATGGATAAACATACTTCTTTTAGTTTTGCTAAATATTTGGTCCTATCGCTTTCTGTTGCACTTTAGTTCCCCCGTTTAATTACTTTATGCATGAGGGGAAAAATATCAGCTTTCAATTTACCATCTTTATTACATACATCCCTGAACTGTTTTCTGTACAGCACATAGATCTCTGTCTCTGCAGGTCTGAGTCCTTGTGGAAAAGGTTACCCTAATGATGCTTAGGTTTTATGTGAACATATTTATTGCATAATTATGTAAGGAAGGCTACATCCTGTCTTACATCTCTATTATTCTAAATATAAGTAAATAAAAGTTCTCATTGATGCCTCCTTTGTCTTGTACTATAAAAGAGGAGGAAAAATTGTTCTTAATCTTTCTTACAGTATTCAGTATTCTGTATATTTTACTGTGCCCCACTTACTCATCTTCTTTCCAAGGAAAACCCTACACATTTTCTTTCATGAGGGGTGTTCCAGATTCTCTGTAACAGTTATTGTCCTTCTCTGAATCCCCTTATAGATGGATCTTCCCTCTGAGATGTGGTGGAAAGCCCTGCACACAGTGCTATACTAGAACTCCCACTATGGACTCACAGAAGTATTATAATAATGTATTATTCTTCACCCTACTTCATATGTGTCCCAAAATTGTGCTAACTTACCTGACTGTAGCTGTGCACTGAACTGCTTATAATTATTTTTCTCCCTTTCTTCAAGAAATACTCTTGACTTAGAATGCTGTAAAGTGCAGTAGGTTTAATTTTAACTTCAGTATGTATTTATTAACACTGAATTTCATTTGCTTTTTTGTTGTTAACTTAGCATCTCTAAGTTACTGAAATTTTCTCTTGTCTTCTTTGGTCAAGCAAATTTTCTTCACCAGGTATTAAAGTGACATGTGGAACAACCAGATCTACTTCGATCAGTCAAACTGGTCAAGTGATGGAGTTAGATGACAGCATTTGAATAAATCAATTCTCAGTAAGCAAACAAGCAAAACAAAAACAAAAAAAATCAAACCATCAGTTGCCAGGGAATGCACATAAATAGGAAATCCTTTTTGATTACAAACAAGTGGCATTTGAAAATACAACAGAATCACAGCACATAGTATTAACTAGGACACATACAATGTATTGAGCAAATACAAGATAAGCCTACTAGCATTCAAAACTTGGTAGCGTAATGGTAGCACAGAATATTATAAATGCATTACTGTGACACCTTGTACTGTGGATAGGTGAGTTTTTTAATAGCTGAATCAGAGCAGCAATAAACTTTTGCCCAGCACTGAATTACATTTTTAGTCTTTATTTTTTTCTAAACAAACAAATAAACAAAGATCTCTTAGCCATCCACTTATTTTCTTATTTATGTTCTTATAATTCTAAGACCTCCAGAACCATGATACATCTTCTATCCACCTTAGAAAGATAAAACCTTTCATTGTCAGTTCTTCACATCCTAGTAACAATGTGCAATCGTGATTTTCAGAACAATTTGTATAAACTATCTGCTTTCATATAGACAAAGAGCTTAAATCTCCCATAGCAGTTTAAATTTGCATGAAAATAAGTTTATGGAAAAATAAACTTTGGATAGAATGCAGTTTTTAGTATTATTCTTATCATATGAACTCTGATCCACATAGTCTGACTGTGCCCTGAACTACTTTTAATAAAAAAACTACATATTCACAATATTGGTCCTGCACATTTGACCTAAGACAACTTAGGTTTTTTCACTTACTTACCCATATTGATAGACTCTTCTTGCATTATTTTCAATGGAAACCCAGAGGCACCAATGACTAGGAAGAAGAAAAAACATAAATGTCACAAATTACCACATCCCACCTCTGGATATGACTACAGTTCTTTATAATAAACACATCTCTTTTTACTCTGCCTCTCTGGGATGGCATTTGCTTAGCCTAAACATTTCAGTCAATTAACTTAGAATGCTTTGTTGGGGTTGCTTTTTCTTACTGGTGGAGTTTAATCTCAAAATTTCATTTGGTGTAAAGTTAAATATCACATTTTTCTTATTTGGGGAGAGGGAATAAAATATGTTTGTTTTGTTGAATCATGTTGTTTGCTTTTATCTTTTCTGAAGCTACATATCGAATGCATTAAGATAATAAATCAATATGTTCTGTGGGTTTAAAAGCCTTTCTCCTGAAATGCTTTGGCTTGATCTAATTATATAATCATTTAGTTTCTCCTAGAATCACAATGCTCTGACTAATTTCATTTACTCTCAAACATAACTTTCTTATTTTTTCTCTCCATCATTCCCTCCTGTAATTTTATGACTTGCCTTTTATGTATGCAAGTGAAAATCACATTAAGCTGTTGGGACCACTCAATCAAAAATTTCGGTTTTTTGTTTACACATAGTTTGCAGAAGTTTAAATATAGTAAGAAACCTTGATACTTAACCCTTATCCCACAAAAACTAATCAATGATATGACTTAATCAGATAAGGACTGCATCCATGATTTCTGCACATCCCTAAAGAAGCAAAACCAACTTGAATAAAACCAGTTTGGAAAAAGAGGGGCAAATGTTTGTATTATAAAATAATCCTTGCAGCATCTACTGGAAAACCTCTAAAATAAAACAAATTGTAACACTGACCTAAAAATCTCACAAAAAATATTTTCCATGTGAATTATGTCTTTGGTGATATTTGTTTTGCTTTTTTGAGGTTTTACGATCTTATGTGTACTTCCTGTCTGTATGTCACACACAGCACTTTTGCCAAGAAATACCTAGAGAATACTATAGAATTTGGTATTAATAAAATAGAACTAGCATAGCTCCCAAAAATAAGAAAACTAAGAAAAAAAATCCAAAAGAAATCCAGAAAGTGATATTGAGAAAGCAAATATTTGCTCCTGCCAAAAGATAAACCTTTTTTAATTAAGTCTTCTTTGTTCTTTCTCTTCTACTTTGAAATGCTTTATTACATTACTATTATCTAGCTGCAAATACCTGTTGTAGTATTCTGCTTATTAAAGGTTTTATTGTAATGCCTTCCATTGTAAAAACCATACAGAGTCAAAATATGAACATTCCAAGCTGAAAGTATTACACATTATGAATTGAATAAACCTGTTGTTTCCACCCCCACAACTTGCACACATGACCGAGTTAATGGCAACAGAATTATGCCAGGGATGATTGAGGGATTTAGGTCCAGTGTATATCAATTTAGGGGCTTCAGTGAAACTGGCTACTTTCAAAGTTTCTCATTCACTTTGAGGGGGACAAAATTTTGCAATATTTTTTTGAAGCTGAAGGAAATGGGAATGGAACAAGGAAAGCAAGGGTCAAGGACCAAACTTACAGAGAAATGGGGAAGGAGTTGTTTTTCTACTTAGGAGTCTGAGTTATGTAAATAACTAGTCTCTCCTATCTCCCTGCATGATTAATTAGGACATCCTAATACTCACCTAATCTGTACACATCAAAAAAACTCAAAACAAATGAAAAGTGGTTCTTCAAATGTCATTTTGCATACAGATGGAGGGATCATTCAGGAGCTCTGTCAAGGAAGACCTCGCAGATCAATCAGTCTTGAACTCACAGTTTTCATTACTAGGTATTCCTGTGAAAGACAGAAGGAAAATCACTTCTCACACTGGAGAAGGCTGGCACCTCTGTATGTGAAAACCTGTGATTTCTTCCTATTAAAAAAGCATGCTCAGTTGAAGTAATTTGTGCATATTCATGCTGATTCTTACTATGATGCTAAAAGATTCTAGGAGAGCAGTGCTGTCAGCAAGACAGTGCAGCATTTTCAAGTTCCTTCACTGAGTGTGAGATGAAATAGTCTTTCCAATATGCATAAATGTGAAGGAAAAGCCACAGTGTGAATGATTTTTCTAGTCAGAGATAATTAAAACACAATGTAAGCTCACAGACATTAGCACTGGCAGAACAGCTGTTCATCTTGATTTAAAAATACAAAACAATGGGAAGATACAACAGGGCTACAAGAGATGGCTGCAGAATTAGAAAACAATAGCAGGAGCTGGTCCACAAAACATGGATTAAGTCCTACAGTAAAAAAATGGAATGCTATTTCAAAAACCAATCCTAAACTCTGTCACATACTAGGTCTCCATTAAACTTTAAAGAAAGGCTTTTCCCAAGTAGCATATGCACTTTGCTATTGCTTGGTAATACCTCTCTGGTCTTTTACTCTGAATGAGTGGGGTTTTTAATTTTACTGAGATCTTTCACATAGCTCTTGACACATGGGGCTGAAGGCTTTCCTCACTCAAGTTCATTACAGATGTTTACTTCCCTTTAATCCCTTCCACGGCAGAAGTCACCCTATTTCTCTGCCCAATTTATTAATTTTTCTGTACAGTTTGAACAACTCTTCAACAGCTCCTGTACAGTTTGATTAACCCTGCAATAGGTCTCTTAGAGATTCACAAATTTTAGCAGCTAATTTTAAGTGAGATCTAATCTACCACACTTACTAAGAAGCCACAAACCACAGAGAAAACTTTCATTTGTGGCATCTGGGTAGGACCTTTGCTGATGATTGAAGTTTATCCCTATATGTTTTCTCTAAAAGATCAGCGGACAGGTGCTTAAGAAGTCCTCTAGACACATACCTGCTTGTACACTCAGAGATACACACCTGTTTCATTAAGTGAATAACTACTGTTTATTATTTCAGAATATTTTTCTTTTCTTTCTTCTCATTTCCTGTCCTTTTCATATACAAGTACTTTTCTTTGTTCTTTTTCTCCTTACCTCATCCCACTGTGCTTTTATTTTCTTTCCATTTTCCCAAGTCTCACATACCTTGTGCTAATTTTGCTTGCCCTTGGTGATTTTGCAATGTTACACTTTAGTATCTAGAATATCAGTGGAAGAAAAGATTGTAATTTGTTGATAAACAGATTAGTAAGAGATAAAAAAATTCAGTATCAGCTAGGAAAAAAATAGATTAAGTGGACATCCCAATAGAAGCATTATAATTTTCCACTTATCTGCTCTGTGCTAAAAAAATCTGCCTAGAATGTGTAAGGCAAGTACTTCCTTTGTGTGTCTTTCAAAATTCATTTTGAATACATCAGGGTGCCATCTCTTTTCAGTTACATGCACTTCGTTTAGTATCAGTTCCCCAATTTACTGAAAACTGGGTTAGGGAAGCTCTACATGTAGATTCTGCTGTCAGCATATCATAGAGCATTACAAATGGTACAGTAATAATTACTGGAATTATAGAAAACACAATTGTGTCACCTCACATGAAGAATCCATCAACCAAAGACAGCTTCTACTTCTTACAACACTGCAAGCAAATGATGTCCAGTGGATTAATCTTGATTGGCTGCCAGATGCGCACCAAACTTCATTCCCCCAGCAAAACAAGATGAAATAAGATGGAAATGCCCATGGCTTAATAAGGACAGGAAAGTGCTACACACAAAACAAACTCTAGCCGAAGAAGATTGATTTAATTTACTGCCAATTAAAAGTAGACTAGAATGGTGAGAAAAACACAAAACTAAATATGCCTTGCCCTCACAACCCCTTCTTTCCAGGCTCAACTTCCCTCCTTCATTCCTTGCTCTTCAGCTTTCTCCCTGCTGTAAGTGGTACAGTGGGATAAGGAGTGGGGTTTGTGGTCAGTCTATAATAACATTTAATCTCTGCTTCTCCTTCCTCCCCACACTGTTCTCCAGCTGCAACATGGGGTCCTTCCCACAGGATACAGCTCTTCCCAACCTGCTTCAGTGTGGGACCTCCCTAGGGACTGAAGCTGTTCATAAAATGCTCCACCATGGACTCTGCACAGAGCACAGTCCTTCAGGAACAAACTGCTGCAGTGTGGGTTCTCTAGAGGCCACAGTTCCTGACAGCAAACCTGCTCCAGTGTGGACTCCACCTGGTGTGTCCTGGTTTGAAAGACAGGTGTCCGCTAGGGAAGGCAGGACCATCCCTTGGAATGAAGAAATGTAAACCCCCTCCCTCCAAATTACTATAATTTTGAAATTAGGGGGCTCTTAGGCAAAGATATGAGAACAGGAATAACAGTTCTTTACTAGTATGCACAATAAAGCAAACAAACAACTCTGGCATTTACAAACAGAACCAGGACCCAGTGACCCTTCCCCTCGTGCAGTTCCGGGCACGGCCGGCAGGGGCGCTGGCGGCTCCCGGCCGGACAGGGTGAGTGCAGGGATTCCCCCAAGCCGGCAGGGGGCGCAGTGGCGCCGGCTCGGGCCACACGCGGTAATGGCGGCTCGGCTGGGACGGGAAGGGATGGGAGAGAGGCTTTACTTCACAAACCACCTTGGAGCAGCCGGTCCTCCTACTGCTGCAGAACTCTGAGGAGCACCAAGCTGGAATGGCAGGAACGAGCAAAAATCCTGGGTGGGTGAACGAGATGTATCAGCAGCTCCGTAGCTGTGGCTGGAACCACGGGAGGTCTCGGCAGGCAGGGGATGTGCGGCTACAGCACTGCGAAAGCTCAGAGCACCACTGAAGAGCAGTGGGGATGGCATAGCAGCTGCCTGACTCCCAGCATGGCAGAGAGGGATGAGCCCAAGATCCCAGGCACCTGAGCAGGTGATGACAGGTCCTTCTTTTAGTGAGGTGGGTGTTAACAAGGTCCCAGTCCAGTGGCTGCTCTTAAAGCAAAGGCTCACCTCATGGCAGAAGGAACAGCTCAGGGCTGGGCTCTGGTGGCAGCAGCAAATTCCCTTCCCAACCATCCTCCTCCGAAAGTCAAGAGTGAGAGCACCTGCCCCAGCCCCATGAGGCTTGCCTACCTCCCTGTTGCCTCAAGTACCCATCCATCAGTGCTTCCTAGCAACTCAATGGGAAAAAATTCCACAAGTAAAAGGGAAAGAAACCCAACCCCCAACAATGACATAACCACTTCCTCCAGCCTGAGATCCTCCATGGTCTGCAGTTTGCAGCATATCTACTCCACCCATGTGTTCCATGAGCTGCAGGAGGTTAACCTATATTACCATGTTCTGCTCCTTGAGATGCAGGGGAATCTCTGCTCTGGTACCTGTTAACACATACTCCCCTTCTTACACTGACCTTGGTGTCTGCGGGGTTGTTTCAACATTTTGTTTCTCATGTCTCAGTCATCTTTTTCACAGATGCTGTGCAGCATTTTTTACTCTCTCTAAAGTACATTTATACAGAGACACCATGACCGTGACTTCTCTGATCTGCTTTGACCAGTGGTGGGTCCATTTCAGAGTAAGCTGAATCTGACTCTGAGCAACACAAGGACAGCCAGGAGCTGTTCTCACAGAGGACACATTTAACAGCCCCAGTCCTCATCCCCTGTACCAAAACATGATTTTCTCTGTTTATAACCTAGACTTGGAATGTCTAATTTAGTTTCTCAACTTTTGTATCTACGGGTGTATTTAGAAATAAAAAAATAGTAGCAAACAAAACTTGGACATAATTTTAACAATATGAGAGAGCAAAATGAGTTTTGCAGATAAACAATGAGCTAAGTTTTTACTGTAACTAAGAAACAGGTAAAGTAAATTGTTAAAAAGTTGGCAGGTATGAATCTTTCTAATAGTGAATAAAAACTGGGATATACAAGATTGTAGGACTTCTTAGTGGTAAAATGTTCTCATATGATATTGAGGATTTATCATCAATATAAAAGTAGTAAGTAGGCACTTTTCTTCAAGTATTTTATGTATTAAAAATTATCCTTATTTTCAAAGCTATCTAGTTATGGGAACTGAGCAAAAAGTGAAATAATGGAAATACAGATAAAAATATGTTTGATGCCTATAATCAAGAAAACTGAGCAGAAATGTTCATCTAATTGTAATTCTCAGCTGTATCCTTGTGTCTGCTCAGAAAGTCATCCTCAGCAAACTGAGCTGGATGTCACACATTTTCACATGAATTTATAACAGTATTACTATAGCCAAACCCAGATTTTAATATTGACTAAGCTTGGGGAAAAAATAACACCAAACCAACCCAAGTGAATGAAGCACACAGGGAATAGTTTCCCAACAGTGTATGGCAGTTTTACATGCTTTGCTTTCGTCTGGATTTACAGTGAAAAGAGTTGAAGACAGTCTCCTTCTGTCTAGATGCCATTTTTCTCTTCTTTTAATTTCCATAGCACTCTAAACAGGATCAGTGTCCTACTTTTCCAATAATCACTCTGAGTCTAACCACCTCCAACACAGCACAAGGATGTGTTTTGCCATGGAAGTGGCAGCACAGGAACCAGTTTACAAAGGTGATAAAATTAAGTGGGTAACAAAAGAATAAAGTGACAGTTTACGACAAAGAAGACAGAACCCAGGTTACCTGAAAAGGAAAAAAATTTAGTTCCTATGAAAATTCAGTGACAAGGTATTGAGACAAATACCATAGGGGACAAAGCAAGCCAAATTACATTGTGTGTATCTCAAAGGTTTTAATTTATGAAGCTCACAAAGTAGGCAAGAAGAATACATTTCTTGTACTTGTCATGATGGAAGTTGGTCCTGAGGCAGGATTAACATTGCAAACTGATATCAAATACACACAAGAAATCATGAATATTTATGATAATGTATTTCATAAACACATAGAGCCAAT